ACAAAATACTCGCATTCAAAGAAAGCAGATGTTTCTTGTTAATTTTAGATTTGTGGAACACTGAAAAACTAATGTTTTTAATTATTACTTCAGATTATAATCGGTCACTCAGAGTTTTCCATGCAGACTGAACATGAAAATAGTCTCCTACACTTAAAGATCAAGGTGCCTCTGTTGCTCGTTCATGCCACTTCACTCTGCATAACATAAAAAAAGAGCAGACCATACCTAACACAATGCCACCCAGCTTCTGGTGCAATCTACCGTCATCTCCCACCTCGACTACTGCAATGTCCCACTAACTGGTCTTCCAGCCTGTACTGTGAGACCTCTTCAAAAGGTCCAGAATGCAGCAGCGTGCCTGGTCTTCAATCAGCCTAAAAGAGCATGTCACCCCTCTGTCCTATGACCTCCACTAGCTACCGCTAGCTGCACGCATCAAATTCAAATCGCTAACACTAGCATACAAAGTCCTGGATGGTACAGCTCCCATCTACCTGAATGCTCTTGTAAAAGGCTTATGTGTCGTTCCACAGATGTGGAATGATCTACCAAGCACTACTAGAACAGGGGCTGCCTTGTCGATTTTTAAGAAACTCTTGAAGACCCAGTTCTTCAGAGAGCATTTTCTAAACTAGCACCTGTCCCCCCACTCTACTGCACACTCCATATTCGCTTCCTTCTATGATTGATTATGCTGCCTCACGCCACCTAGGATTGACTGATTAGTGTTTGTTGTTAGCCTCAAGGGCAACTAGCTGGCTTAATTATCACCTGTAAGTCACTTTGGGCAAAAGCGTCTGCGTAGTTTAACACACCTCTCTGCAGCTTCAGTACTGTTACCCACCCACTAACGCATTGAGACAGTGTCCTGGCCATGGCCAAAATCACAAAGATTAAATATCAGGCTTAATAAAGCAAATCAAGGAAATCTCATAAATATTAGAACAAATTCAAATGAGTAGAAAACTAGAAAAATTAAATGTGGGTTACTGAACATCAGGTCTATTTTTTCTAAGACTTTGTTAGTTAATGACTTGATTTGTGATAATAAGATTTCTTTGCTCTCTCTCACAGAATCCTGGCTGCAGCAAGAGGACTATGTTAGTTTAAACGAGTCGACTCCGTATAACTATTTAAATCATCATATTGCTCAAAGTACAGGGTGAGGAGGAGTAGCAACCATTTTTCATTCAGACCTATTAAATAATCCCTTACCAATTAATATCTACAGTTTGTTCGAACATCTTATTCTTAGTTTTCCTAATCCAGATTGCAAAAATGTAAAACCACTCTTGTTTGTAGTTTTATATCATCCACCAGGTCCTTACTCTGAGTTTTTGGATCAAATCTCTGATTTTTTATCTGATTTGGTGCTAAATACTGATAAGGTCATTATAGTGATGGATTTTAACATTCATGTGGACATTGAAAATTATAGCCTCAATGTAGCCTTTAGTAATATCCTAGACTCAATTGGTTTTACTCAAAGAATACATAGCTCCACCCACTCCTGCCATCATACATTGGACCTTGTGCTGACATGGCATAGAGTGTGAGGAAATAACGATATTTTCACATAATCCAGTCCTCTCTGACCACTTTGATAACCTTTGAGTTTTTTATAACCGAGATCTCGAGACATGACAGTAAATTTCACTATAGTCGGTCTCTATCTGACAACACTGTTGCATCTATTAAGTCAACTGTTCCATCTTTACTGTCCTCAGCATCTCAGAGGCATGTAGCAGAGGGAAAAATTTTCAGTTCTAGCCCCTCACAAATTGATGATCTAGTTCATAATGTTACTTCTTTATGTGTGGCATTAGATGATGTTGCCCCTTTAAAAAAGAAGGTAATTAAGCACAGGAAGTTGGCTCCCTGGTTTAATTCTCATTTACGAGCTTTAAAACTAAATTCTAGAAAATTGGTGAGAACATGGCGCTCTACACACCAGGAGGAGTCCTACTTATCCTGAAAAAATAGTCTTGTGCTTTATAAAAATAAACTTTGACAAGCTAGAACTGCTTATTTTTCATCGCTAATTGAGGAGAATAAGAATAATCCTAAATTTCTTTTCAGTACAGTTGCCAAACTTAAAAGAAGCATAGCTCAGAACCATCTATTCCCTTAGCCCTCAGCAGAAATGACTTAATGGGAGTTTTCACAAGTAAAATTAATTATATTAGAAACAAAATTATTATCATCCTCCCTAATGTGATTTCTTCTTCCTCAGTAAGTGAGGCAGCATCAGAGGTAACTGTAGAACCTCATCTGTGTTTGAACTGTTTTGATCCAGTTGAGCTTTCAGAGTTATCAAAAATATTAGCTTCATCTAAACCTTCCACTTGCATTTTAGATCCAATCCCAACCAAATTATTTAAAGATGCATTTCCTTTGGTTAATGCCCCCATTCTAGATATAATCAATCAATCCTTAGTAAATGGATACGTACCACAGGATTTTAACTCATTTACAGCCATTGACGACTTAAGTCGTCATTTTAGATCAACCCGTTCACTGCATTTGCATTTTTTTTTTACTATTTGGGCATCGGAACGAGCCCCCGCACTGAGAGAACAAACATTTCAGCTCTAAAGCCGATCTTCATCTGCATATGTCACATGATCAGGAAGCAGAAAATCCATGTGTTAGGAGATGGTTTTGGGCCGTTCCTGTAAAAAAAACGTGAGGCGCGAACCAGAAAAGCTTCTGCCGATCACAATTCAACAACGGATGATGAAAGAACGGATAACACTCGAAACATGCAGATTCTTCCTGATGTAAGAGGTGAGTCTCCGCTTTGTTTTGATTGTTTTGGCGTCAACATCATCCTAGTGCGCAATGTTATGTGACTCTTAGAAAAACAGTAAAAATGGTGAGAAACGCTGGCAGAGAAGGCCTTCGGCGATCAGGAAACGGCTGGCAGTAGGGCTGAAACGATTCCTCGAGTACCTCGAATAATTCGAGTACAAAAAATCCTCGAGTCAAATTCTCTGCCTCGAGGATTCGTTTAATTCACATTTAATTAATTCGTGGCTTTGCAGTCGCCCGTGGTCATGTTTCACCCGGACTGAAATAAGTGACGCACATGCCCACTGGACTGCACACGCGAGTAGCCAATGTAACTTAACTTTCACTTAAGCCATGGCGGACAACGTGGACTCCGGTGGAGTGCGAAAAAGACAGAAAATGTCAAGATGTGGGACCATTTTTCACGTCGTTAGGCGGAAAACGTAGTCCAGTGTTTATGTTTATTCATTTCGCAGACGCTTTTATCCAAAGCGACGTACAAGTTTTTTTTTTTTTTTTTTTTTATAACCTGTAGGGCATGTTGTGATCTGTGGGGGAAACCGGAGTACCCGGAGGAAACCCACGCATGCATGGGGAGAACACGCAACTCCACGAAGAAAGGCGAGTTTTGGACCTGCGACCTACGTGCAGCGAGGCAACAGTGCTAACCACTGTGCCACCATGCAGCCCATTTACAGTGTAAATACTGTAAAATGGATTTAGCCTACCACAACACCACATCCTCCATGCTGCAGCACCTGTAAATGTCACTTCTGCAAGCGGACTCGGAGCCTCTACAAGATAATGTATTTTAGCCTGTTTTTCTATATATTCTGCGGACACTGTGCGACTTTTTCGTTTGTAGCACTCAGTTTCAGCTCACACCGTACGTCTGGTAGCAACACGTCGGACTTAAAATGTGCTAAACATAGCAGTTTTTACACAACACGTCGGACTTTTTATTGTGTTGTTATTGATATTTGTTGTCCCTCAGGATCGCTGCAGGAGGACACGGGTATTTATGAGAGGAAAACGAAAGAAAGTAAATAAATGTTTTGTGATCAGTATAATTTGACAAAACCACGGCAAACATGCTTTCTCGACAATCCTTGTTATTGTGTGAGACAAAAAAGTGTAGAAATTAAAACGGACGTGTGTTAATAGGGAAACAGCCGGCGAGCTGTTTGCGCATGCACCGTGAGCGGTTCTGGTTCTGTTTGGGCCGCAGCCGCTCGCAGCGCTACTTCAACAGTTATCCTCCTAGTTTTTGTCTGGCTTGCAGGCTAGCAGATTCTCGCACGAGGGGAAAATCGGCTCAGGTTGTTTACTTATTTTTTGCACAGCCATTTGTTTACTGTGAAGTAAAGTTGAAGTGCTGAAGTTTTGCAAACTAATTTTGAATAAAACTTGAAGAATAACTGGCAATTGCTTGCTCATTTTAACAGGTCTTTCATAATTATAACATGCTATTTGATATAATGGTTTACAAATACAAAAGGGTAATTTATTAGAGTACTCGATTAATCGAAAAAAATATTCGATAGAGTACTCGATTACAAAAATATTTGATAGCTGCAGCCCTAGCTGGCAGAAACCTTCTCTGGATCCAGATGACCCAATGAATTATAGACCAATATCTAACATTCCATTTTTATCCAAAGTCCTTGAGAAAATAGTGGCCAACCAAGTATGTGAGCATTTAAAAACTAATGATCTGTTTGAGGAATCAGAAAGTAAGACTCGAAATCCTGTCATCTGAAGCTCAACTCTGAAGTGGCTCACTTCTAGTACCTGAAAATAGTGCACCAGAGCCCACCCCACAGTATGATTTACAAGGTACTCATTCCTACTATAGACCACTGCAAATGTGTTGAGTAAATGAGTGTTCCACACCTTTAAAAACATTCAGCTACTTTGTTTCTGTATAAAAACAATGAATCCTTACTATTTAACCTGTTGTAAATGGCTTCCTGAACATAAACACAATTTTCTTTTACAAAACTGGACAATTCACAACCAAATTATCCTTTTAAATGAAATAGGAGATCAGCCAAAGACTTGGAGCACTAACACTAATATGAGTGGATTGACCACTGAGGATTTAATGACTTCCCTTTTGTTTTTGTTGTACATTTTCTTACTCAAAGTTGTGACTTGTAGTTTTAAACGACAATAAAAAAATCACAAAAATTTATAACTTTACTCACTTCATGTGCTAGCATTCTGTAGAGTTCATCTTTGGTCACAGAGATTCGTTCTCGGTCGGTGCTGTCCACCACCACAATTACAAACTGGTCAAACAATAAAAAGAGATGCAAGAGAATTAATAACAGAATTTGCCACGACAGATATTTAGATGTCACAACGCCTACTGGTTATTTTTCTATTTAAATAGGACTTGATTTAAAATGGGTCTTCCTCTCTCAACATTTTGACAAAACGTTTTTATTACAAATATTTCACTAAAGAACATAAAAAGGTTTTAAAAAAATACTAAATGAAAACTCAACTGTGGAACTTAAAAGTAAGAGTAGACAGTTTTCAACACCTTAGATATTAATTTAAAAGTCCATTAATAGAAAGCACAAGAAGAAGAAGAAAAAAAGGAGTTTGGTCTTTTGATGACATCATGGCGAAGCCTGACAATAAAAGCAAGAGAGTAATGTCTTTGGAGGCAAAGCTAAGAGCCAAAACCAGAATGAAGATCAGTGCGGCCTACACTCATTTGAGGGAGCTAAAGGAGGCCATGAAATCATGAACTGATGATGACCTGGCTTTGTTGCTACTGGACTTGTAAGTAATATTACTTTTCGTTCAAAAGTGTGGATATTTGTACTTTGTGGCTTATTTTAGTATCAGTTGGTTAATACTAGTGTTACCACAAATCCACACTAGAGGTATCGGCGGCACGGAACGGCGGCGGAACTTTGCTGCTTCAAATGTAATCCATTATAGTCTATAGGATTGATCCAAATGGGTTACCGTGCAGAAAATTTCAAGTGTGTCCCAAAAGCAGTGCGGCGCACCACTAAAAAATAGAATCGGGTAGGGATGTCCCGATTATGCGGTTTCAGAATCAGATCAGGAGTTATGTCCCGATCCGGACTCTGATACAGGGTTCAAATTACAGAAGAGCTAAGGGGAACCTGGTTCTCCTAAAAGGTTGCCGGGCTCTCCTGAAGCCCTGAAATTACACACCCAGAAGGAGCCCGAAAGAGATCCAGTTTCTACCTATATTATATTATTTATATGGACTCTCAGCGTAGCGGGGAATCTTTTGAGTGGAGACACAGAGAGTGGCAGCTCATGCGCTTGTAATGGCCAGACAGCTGCGTCCTGCACACGGACACAGTAACATTTTCAAAGTGCCGACACCCAAAAAATATATAATTAACACGCGATGGTTCATGTCTGTTCATACTCTCTCTAGTAATTTCTGTCTTTTATTTGAGCCCGACGCGAATAGACCAGACGCGCTCTGCCGCTGCAGCACTCATCCCCCCATGGTCCGGTGACTCGGCATCACTGGCACGGCCGGGCAGCATGGCGTGCACTCAGCTATCGTTGCGGTCAGTAGATCCATTTGATTTGCTTAGTTTAAAAGTAACTTGTGAGGTGAAAAAGGAGGAAGTCAAGCAGCAATTTTTCTGGAGAACTGAGAGGAGATGCAGGAAGATCAGAGACAGACATAACAGAAAAATAAAAACCGAGAAAACAAAGCAAAGTTCTTGAAAAATAAAATGTAGGTATTTATCCCACTACACGTTTTTACTTCTATAAAGCAATAATTTATCAGCATGTAATATTTATTTATCTGAAACATTTCAGATCACCTTCAAAACTCTGTCCCACACCCAGGGCCGTATCAAGGCATTTTGGGGGCCAAGGCAAAAAAGACCTCTGCCAGGTATTTTAAGTTGAGGTGCTATTTGTTATTATATTAGACATTTTTATATTTGCAATAAAATCCAAAAGTGAACAATTTATGTTATTTAATACTTGATTATTCAAGCTAATTCACAGAAGTGATCTGTTTGTTAACGGAGTTGTTAAATGTTTAAAAATAAAGGTAATTAAACAAAAAATAAGAAACATTCTGGATTTGTTTCTTCGCTTTCTTTATTCTTTTTTATGTATCGAAAGTATCGGATCAGGACTCGGTATCGGCGGATTCTCAAAATCAAATGATTCCGACTCGAGGGCAAAAACACCTGATTGGGACATCCCTGGGATCGGGTTCTATTTGTGCTGCGAGCCGCTTCTGGGAGAGGTCAATTTCCGCAGTTAACACAGAGCTCTACAGGAAGTCAGACACAGTTTGAGTGTAAAGCCTTAGGTAATTTGCAGAGGTGTGATTTCTTTTCTATGTAGATTACATCAATACATGTGAGCTATCGGCTGTTTATTCCCAGCATCTTTCAAGAAGTGTAACTGTGTTTTTCATGGCTCTAATCCTGGCAGTGTAGAGGAATAACATTATATAGGGCATCCAACAGTGACATAAAACACTCATAAAGTTGCAGCGCTAGCTGAGAGAGGTTCAGACTTGTGTTTTATTCCTGAGTCCTATTGTTGCCTATTATTAAAATGGGAGAATCGTCTGAAACAGGGGATCTGTCCTGACATGTTATGAGTTAAACAGAGGCTTACGGGGGAGCCCAGTGGGAGGGGAAGTCTATTCTGTCTTGGGCCCCAAATACCTTGATACGGCCCTGGGTGTGGGACTGAGTTTTGAAGGTGATCTGAATTGTATTAAATACACACACACACACACACACACACATATATATGTATATATATAAATTTATATATATACATATATATATATTACATGATTATAAATGGCTGCTTATAAAGGTAAAATGTGTAGTGGGATAAATCTACTAAACATATGACATTTCAAGGTTTTTGTTTTGTTTTCTTGTTCTTTATTTGACAATTTTCCCATCCTGTCTCATCTTCCTGCATCTCGTCTCAATCCTACAGAACATCTGTTGTCTGGCTTTCTACTTTTTCACCTCATGAGTTACTTTTGAACTAAACACATCAAAGGCATCTACCAACCACAAACAACGGAGTGTGTGCTGCGCGGCTGCACCATTGAGGTGAAGTCACCGGACCGTGGGTGATGAGTTCTGCTGCAGCGGAGTGTCAGGCACAAATAAAACACAGGAAGTACCAGAAAGAATTTGAGCTGACATGAACAATCGTGTTAATTATATTTTTTTGATGGCACCACTTTGAGGATGTTACTGTGGCCGTGTGCAGGAGTGCATCATCGATCTGCACTTCATGTCTTCTCCACTGAAAAGAATCCCTGGCATGCTGAGAGTTCATATAATTATTGTGATGAAGGTAGAAACTATATATTTTTGGGTTCATCCTGGGTGTGTAAGTTGAGGGCTTCTAGTGGAGCCTGTCACCCTTTCTGGTGAGCTGGGCTCGTTCAAACAGGGATGCACCGATACGATACTGGTATCGATGCCGATACCGATACCAATACTAGTATCGGTGAACGTTATCCGATACCAGGAACCGATACCAATGCAGTTGCTTGAAAATGGCTTCCCTGTAACTTGTCATTTCTGTTCACCTAACATTTTAGTTTTGTGATGATTTCCATTCATATATTTTACTTTTTATCTACCTCACGGTCTTCTCCTGTTGAAAGCAGAGAAGAAAATAAAATCTGTATTCCAATTCATTGCATTTTTTTGTATGGTAGAAGTATCGGTATTGGTAATCGGTATCGGCGAGTAATCAGATCCAAGTATCGTATCGGTTTGGAAAAAAGTGGTATCGTTGCATCCCTAGTTCAAACCCTGCGTGCGGGGTTAACCCCCCCCCCCCCCCCCCCCCCCGCAATGAATTTCCACTTGAAAATATTTGTCAAATGATTTGTGCAATAATCAGATTTTTATTTTACTTCCACAAAAGGCAAATTCTAGGTTTGATATTACAGAAACCGGAGACATTCTTGCAATCAAATTTCAAAGCTGTCACTTGTTACTTAGGCCGTCATTTGAAGTCAGACCGTCTACATGACGGCTGGACGGTTTGCAGGGTAATACTACGTAGTTCAATAATTATGATAAAGCTGTTATGCTTGCCACATTTGGCAGAGGCCATTGACTGTACCTCACTGGGCTTTACTGCTAGGTAGAAATGGAGAACAGCATGAGAATGTTTCCAAAACTTCTCAAAGTTCATCTGGGATTTTGTTTTGATATGATTAGCAGAGCGTCAACACAAACCAAAGCCAGAATCAAAATCACCTCTGTGTTTGTGTAGTAAGTATTCCACGATGACCTCAGGGACTCCTGGCCCCCGATGTCCCACATCAGAAAATGTGTGTTGTTGACCACGATCTCCTCCACGTTACTCCCAATGGTGGGAGAGGTGTGCACCACTTCATTCATTGAACTGCAACAAACCACAGAAAGAAAGCTTTTTAGATTCTTTGTGTCCCAAATCAATCATTTGTAATGTTTGAAACAAGCTTTATGACAAACGGGAAAACCAAACAAGAGAAAAAGCACGCGCACATATAAATACGGTAACTGAAACGGCTTTACTACAGTACTTACAACTGGTAAAGAATTGTCGTCTTGCCTGCATTGTCTAGACCCACAATGATGACTTTGTGTTCTGAAAAGCAAAAAGAGACAAATTATATAGAAATCACAGACCAACAGAGACATCAATATGTGGGTTAATGCAGACAGGTAATCTGTTGTCAGAGGCACACGGGCCTTTTGCATTCAGCAGACCTGCAAAGAAACATTTAGTCGCGGGAACACCGGGGCGATAGTGGTGAGTGTGCTTCTTCATTAAAACCCAGCTTCAACAACATTTAAAGCACTTTCAAATTTTCCTGAATTTAATTAATTAGCAGAATTTTAGATTTTGTGGCAATATGAGAAAAACATGAGAAACAAAGACTGCTAGTTAAATTAGCAATGAGTAATAACAGCATGAGAGTATTCTACCAACACTGCCCCGCTGGTCTTACACATTTGATTGTTTATCAGCACAATATTATTAATATTAATAATAATAATATGCTACAATCACACAAGTCAAAGATGAAAGTAATGGCTTATCTTGGTAAGCAAAGCCTAGTATCACATGAAAACACCAAACACGTTCTGTTACTGATATGGGGCATAGGCTCAGGGTTTACTTTTAGCTGATGTGTACAAATGTAGAATGGTAAACAGATTTTAATTTACTTTGGGTAGCTAAAACAACTGTAAAACTATATTATGTGTGTATTGTTGTCAGTGAACAGAAAACAATGTGCTACAGTTTGCTGCAGATGGGTTGGTGTCACTGCTGGTCTTTAGGGACGCTAATCTCTCATCAGCTAACAGCACCCAAAACGGGCAGGTGAGCATCAGAAAGGGATGACTGATGGGATGAAATGGTGAGCTGGACTGATGATTCAAGTGTTCTCTTACATCATGTGGATTAACAGATCTGCATGTGTCATTTACCTAGGGAGGAGGTGGCACTGGGCTGGATAGAAAAGCTGCTGTGGGCTGCCACCTCATGTTATTTTGTCATGAGTAAAAATCACTACATAGTCAACTAAAAAGGAAGTCGCTGGCCATTTCTTAGTGTGCATACTCGTCTGAACTTGTGTGTTCAGTCACATCCTTGTGAAACGTCATCAACGCTGGCCCAAGTACTGTTCCAATTAGGGATACGCTGAAATGAAAATTCTTGTCCATAACTGAAAAATGAAAATTAGGAAACCAAGGCCGAAAGCCGAAACACCAAAAGTATTAATTATGTCAATAATTAGAACCATAGCATTAGGACTGTAAAACCAACCTTTAAGCGTCAAAGTCACAATACCGCAAGCCAAAGATGCAAATAAAATCCCTCATAAAGTCATTACTTTACACCAGAATATAGTGGAGATGTGTAACTTCAAACTGAGCCACACTTTTGGGTGTGCTTCTATTGAAAAAGTTTAGAGTTTGAAATCTGCCACCCATCAGGAGACTCCTAACTGAGGAGAGGAGACGAGCGGAGCACACAGAAGGAGAATATTATTATATATTAGAGAGGAGAACCTACAATGCAGACATGTTTGTTCATTGTTGAAAAGCTGCCTGGTAATGGCTGACTCAAATTCTAAAGAGTAGTATTCACCCTCTGATGAAGATATTCACTCGTCCAGTGAAGAAGAAAGTGACGCTGCAGCACCAACAGTGTCTGTGTGCTCTAAGAGAGTAAACACGCTTCACACACACGAACCAAAGCTTATTTCACCGTGTGCAGGACTAGGGATGTCCCGATCCGATCACATGATCGGAAATCAGCCCCAATCACGTGGTTTCAGACTGATTGGGACTTGGGCTTTACTTCCCGATCCAAGCCCCGATCCGGACTCGGATACTGGGTTCAAATTACAGGAGAGCAACTTGGTTCTCCTTAAATGTTGTCAGGCTCCCCTGATGCCCTTAACTAACACACCCAGAAGGAGCACAAAAGAGATCCAGTTTCTACCCATATTAGATTATTTATGTGGACTCAGCGTAGCGGGGATTCTTTTGAGCAGAGATGCAGAGAGCGGCAGGCAGACCGCTGATCATTCATGATCTCCAGCTGCGTTCTGCACACGGCCACAGTAACATTTTCTGTTTCTAAGTGGCGTCATCAAAAATATATAATTAACACACAGTCATTCGTGTCCGTTCATTTTCTCTCTGGTAAGTTCTGTCTGGATTTGAGCATGAAGTATGGACGCGCTTGTGCTGCAGCGCTCGTCACTGGTGCAGCCGGGCAGCGTGGCGCACACTCTGCTTTTTTGCGGTCAATAGATCAATTTGATCTGCTGGTTAAAAAGTTACTTGTGAGGTGTACAAGAAGGAAGCAGGCAGGAGATTTTTCTGGAGGAAGATCAGAGACAGACAGGACAGCAAGACAGGAAAATAAAAACCAAGAAAAAAAAACAAAGTTCTTAATAAATAAAATGTAGGTAGACTGATCCCACTACACGTTTGTACCTGTATAAAGCAATAATTTATCAGCATGTAGTATTTATGTATTTGATAAAATTCAGATCATCTTCTAAACTCCATCCCATGCCCAGGGACGTATCTAAGCATTTTGGAGGCCGAGGCCAAATAGACCCCTGGCAGGTATTTTAAGTTGAAGTGCGATCTGTTTTTATATTAGACTTTTTATATTTGCAATAAAGTCCAAAAGTGAAGAATTTATGTTATTTATTGATTGTTTAAGCTACCTCACAGAAGTGATCTGTTGTTAAAAATTAAAATAAAAAGGTAATTAAATAAAAAATAAGGAACATTCTGGAACCGTTTCTTCCTTTTCTTATTTTTTTATGTATCAAAAGTATTGTATCCGGCCTCGGTATCGGCAGATTCTCAAAATCAAATGACTCGGACTCGAGGGCAAAAAAACCTGATCGGGACATCCCTATTCAGGACATGGTAGGGGTAGAAAGGATGGTAAAATCACCGCTAATAGGGACAGACGTAGCAGTAATGTAGAAGAAGAAAAAGAAATGCCAGGCAGAAGCAGTAGATGTGAAACCAAAAGTAAAAAGTACTTATTAATCGATTTAAATATTCCAGTGATCATAATAAAACAGCATTACTAAAAGGGGAAAACTTTACTTTTGAAATATGACGAATGTACTGTTTTTATAAAGCAATGGGCAAGATGAAACATGAGGGATGAAACGAAAATGGGGTTCACATGACTGCCTGTTTCGGTTATTTTGGTGTTTCGGCCGAAAACTGAAAATAAAATTTTGGGTCATTTTTTTGCATCCCTAGTTCCATTCCTGAGTACCATCATGGCAAGTTCACTCAGAGTTACCAGATGTGTTCTTGATTCACACAATGTACAGAGAGTTATTCTGTTCCAAATTCCACCATCTTCGACCCATACTCAATAGAACTGAGAGCCAATAACGTACTTGTAAAGTACACAAGAACGTACTAGCGTACTTACTTGAGTACTGAGAAACGGCCACTGGCTAAATGAGTCATAACGGTGTGGATTCAGATGCTTACTTCCAGGTTGGTGATGAAGAAGCTGTGGGAAATGTTCGTACTGCAGTGCTGTTGAAAACAATTCCCCTCCTTACAGAGTTCTTCCATTTCTGCTTTTTGGTTTATATTTATCGCAAATATATAGTTATCGCGATATCAGCATGTGCAATTTGCATATCTCAAGGAACAGATAAATATCGCAATGAATGGTCAGCTCAAACGTCTGCTACACATAATGCATCCAGTCGATCAAACAGAAGCATGAGGATTTTTTAACAAATCAAATAGAGCTCTTCACCCATTTGGCCAAATGGGTGGGTTCTCATAGGTTAGATCCACTGATTGCCTTTTCTTGTTCATTTTCTTTTCCCCTTTCCTCACATCTTCTGCGTTTCTCATTTTTATGATTTTTTTTTTGTCATTTTTGAAAAAATTGTGTTTGATTATTTTTGTTCCCGAGTTAGGTTTTTATTTATCGCAAGTAATATCGTCATCGCAATATTAATCACTGTTATCGCATATCGCAGGTTTTCCCAATATCGTGCAGCCTTTATTTACATGTTCATGATCAGCCAACCACACATTTCAGTATCACTCAGAAATACCCAGAATATTAAAACGTATAGAGATACAGGAAATTCTAGCAGCTCATGTTTTGTTTAGAACTAAAAATAAACAGCTACCAGAAATTTTGGAGATCAACTTAAAGAGCAGAAAAAATATGTTGTTTAGTTAGTAAGTCACCTTAATTTAGATTTTTAATTATTCATTTATTTTTCCCTAATTTGCAGTGTACAAATTATTTAATTTATCAAGAGTAAAATACACACACACACACACACACACACACACACACACACACACACATGGCGATGAGCTACAATGTAGCCACAGCTGCCCTGAAGATCACTGACAGAAGCAAGGATACCAAGCACTGGTGCCAACGGTCAGCAAGGCGGGTTAAGTGCCTTGCCCAAGGACACAATGACTGCAACAGACAGGTCTCCAACCTGTAACCCTCAGGTTACCGGGCAGGCACTTAACTCCTGTGCCACTGTTGTCCTAAGGTGTGCTTCCTGTCATAGATGATGTAAAGTAACACCTCATTTTTGAAATAAATAAATAAATAAATAAATAAACAATCAACCCTCAAACATGGTGGTCTCTGGGGCTGATTTGTTGCTTCAAGTTGCTGCTTTGATGAGTCAACTCCATAGCTGAAGGAGCCATGAATTCTGCTCTCTACCAGAAAAGAAAAGTGGGGCAAACATCTTACTGAAATGATAAACACTAAATACATTTATCGTATAAAATAAAGCCTAGTTTCTACTTCTTTGTCTATGGAAGTGCATTGACACAGCACCATTGACGGAACAGAGCCCAGTTTTTTAAACTAACTGTCAACAAATGAAGAGCACATAACATCTGTGATCAGTCAACCCAACAACAGCGTCCGCAGCGATGTCTCCTTTGCTCCCACACTGAATTCATTGTGACAAAATTCTTTGTTCCTTGAGATCAAGCAGTTCCACCTCAATGAAAACATGCTCTCTGTCGGCCATTGTTCCTTGAGTGGGTTGGCGTTTACAAGCTTTTTGTCAAACTTCATTTAACAAAAAGTGATCAATAACAAACTTCAATTTTAGCACAAGAATGTATTATTTTAATTTAAATCCATGCCTCCTTCAAGATATTTGCATTTATCAGAAGAAGTTAAAGTTAAAGTCCCATTAGTTGTCACACACACTGATGTGTGTGCGAAATTTGTTCTCCACATTTGACCCATCCCCTGGGGGAGCGGTGAGCTGCAGACACAGCCGCGCTCGGGAACCATTTGGTGGTTTAACCCCCCAATCCAACCCTTAATGCTGAGTGTCAAGCAGGGAGGCATTGGGTCCCATTTTTTTCAAAGTCTTTGGTATGACCCGACCAGGAATCGAACCCTGATCTTCCAGTCTCAGGGCAGACACTCTACCACTAGGCCACTGAGCTGGTAAATAAAGTAAATAACTAAGTAAATAAAGTGTCACTGACCAGAGGTCTACATGCGAAGGATGAAGTCAAGGACGATTACGTTTTGTGGAAGTGACGTAGGGAGATGGGAAGTTTTCTGACTGGATCGGATTTGGGGACTACTGGTTTGGTATACCTATGAATGTGCTTAATAATATGTGATTAGGTGAGGATTTGTTTTTTAACAAGATGGTGTGGACCCAAGTTTTTTCCTGGGGAGGATATTCGGTTTTACAAAAACCCTGCTACGTGTGTACATGGTATGAAGCAGCAAAACTATGAGAAATACTTTTTCAAAGTACCACTGTTCTATCAAGAGACCCAGTTTTCTAAAGTGTTACTACCGGCTTATGCCTTTGCCTGATTTCCAGGTGTTGCTGGGTTTGCCTCAATCAAGAGACGAGCTTAAGTGCAGCAGAACACTAACAAAAATACCTTCTTTATAGGATAGGTAGAACCACAATTAAATCTCCACAAGCCACTTTTTCTCTTAGATGTCTGCACCAGAAGATGTGTAAGATCCCCACAGCATGCTAAGAACCACGATAATCCCTACATTGACAGTTCAAACTAACAGATGTATGGTGATCTGGATATCTGATAATGCACTGATACTGTGATGAGGTTGCAACACATGCAGTGCAAAGACATTGATTCATTCTGTCAGTCATTGATTCTTAGTTTTGTTTGTGTTCCCCTCTGCAATCATAATACCGGTCAGCCGGGCTCAACATAATCGAGATTCGTGTTACAGGAGTTTCGAAACGGCTAATTTACTGATTCAAGGTCCCTAGCCGTAGGTGGACACGGTTTCACTTTACCTGTGCTACCAAATCTGCGAGCATAAATAATCCAATACAATGCTAATCATCACGATCGGTGCTCCAGACCTAATGCCAAGCAGCTGCTCAGCAGGAGAAAAAGTGACACACCACCTAGCTTAGTTTCATTCCACAAAGAAACTGGCATTATTACCGGGATACTGAGAAGTGTTTTCGAGTAAAACGGGTTCTTTAGCAGAACAGGCCTCCTCTAGTCACAGTAGCTAGCTCCCATGTTTTCGACAATTTCGTGTAAAATATCACGGCACATTTCTTACCTTGGTGATTGAAAAGCCTCCATAGCTTTGTAAAAAGTATCCCCATGGCTGACGGTGAAGTTTTCCGAGGCCAGCTTGTGAGAATCCCCTTAGCTAGTTAGCTAGCTAGCGTTGATGACATTCAATGCTACTAACTTCACCTAGCTTGCTAACTAAGACAACAGGCTAGTGAGGCGTTTAACAGCAGCCTCCATGCTTGTATAAATAGGTTTGCTAACTATGCATGTCCCAGGAGAGATAAATATACCTATACCACAAAATAAAAATATTCTACCAGAAACAAAACAATAACGCAAACCGTTGCTGCGAGGATGATATCAGCTGGCTTTGGGAGAGTACACTTGGCTGTCAACTTGGCGCATGCGCAAAGGATTGTCACCACACTAATGGCATAAGTAATATAATATAATATAATATAATATAATATAATATAATATAATATAATATAGTATAATATATGTTTTAGAAGTATAAAAGCTGTATTGTTTACGGCATAATGGTTTATTTCAGTACATTTGGAAAATAACACTGCACACAATACTCTAGTCAATTGATCATTCTCTCACAATGAGGGTTTAGATCTTTATAATGGTGCTCATAACTCACTATTTGGTAACATGAAATGTATTTTATCTTGCACAAAAAGAACTGCTGTCTTTTGGTGATTTTCCATTGGCAGATTTACTGCAAAATAAAACTTTTAGGGGCTCATGAGGCAAAAAACATCTGTGTAATAAATTACAAGACACAAGTGCATGTTATTCATAGATCATGACTCTTTTCTGCAGAAACTGGCAGTGTACATATTGAAATCACTGACAAAAATGATCGCATACATATTATGATGTGTTCTGATTTAATCATGTTGGAAATTCAAATAAATAAATGAGTATCTTTGTAATATTTTTTGACAGTATTTACATATGGAAGCCCTCTTTAAGTCACTTGCTCAAATCCACTTCTGTCAACCCTGTATAACCTATTGTTCGATACATGTTTTATGAAAACTGGTACTAAGTGCCTTGCATGTGGAAAACATGCTGGCAGACTAGAGACCATTCCTTCTTTAATTGTTTCAACTATTCTTTTATCCTCAACAACTTTACAAAAAATCAAAACCTAATGGGTAAGAAGATAAACGCTACACTTTCAGGCCTTGATGACCTCTCATTCCTGAGGTTTTAAGCTTTGAAATGTTGGTTTCTATATAACTAAAAATAAAAGTGGCTCAAGAAGCAAATGCCTGAACCTGGATTGTAGAAACAATCTTTTTTGTTTTTAAAGATTTTTTCACGCTCACTTTGTGGACAAGAGCACACGATCTTTTGCAGACTCTCAGATGCATCATATTCTGCTTCCATCAGCTCCTGGATTTGTTCAAACGAGTTGAGTGCTGATCGTCACGGCAGGGTAATGTCTGGCACTGGCTTCTGTCAGTCGGTGACGTGGAATCACAGCTCCACCTACATGCTACAGTGACAGCTGAGTCTACTCCTCACATGTTCACTTGCTAGCTTATCTTACTTACATCCCATTAGTGGGTAAATAATCAAAAACATGTTCAACAGGTTTACCTCAAAAACACAATTTTGTTTTCTTTGTGCTACATGTCCAGGATCCCTTTTCAGGTCCGAGAGTCCATTTGGCAGCGGTCACAGCTAGAGTGGGATATGAGATACTACACAGAATTAGAAACCTGTTACAGTTCAAGGGGGTTATAGATTTATCACACTGGAGCTGTTAGTGCTGCCTTGGCTTTAGTGTTCATGGTGGATGTTCAACGACAGTAAGCTCACATGTCAAAGCCTAAAGCCGGTGCCTGGAGTCCTGGCTATAGGCTCCCGGGGACCCTCGATTACGATGAGGATTATAAGAGTCCTGATAGGGGTCCTGGTAGTCCTCCTCGACCAATGGAGAGTGGTCCCTGCTGTGCTGTGAACTGGAGGACAGACGGTTGCGATGCTTTCGTGCCTGTTCGTTATGATAGTTCTCATCAGCAGGCATCAAGCTGCGGCGCTCAACAGGTGAATGGTCTGTTGTGTGGTTGCTGTTTCTGTTTCTTTGAGCCTTTTTATTAAACAAACAAAAAAAAACACATTCAGTAATGTTTATCCTTTGAAACTTCGAAATTATAATCAATTATTGTAATGAGTGGTAATTTTTAGGGATAAAATTAAACTTCACAGGTCAAATATTCCAATAGTTCCTCAAAAGACTGGAAATGCACAGAGAACAATGCAAAGCGTTTGTGAAGCTTACTTTCATAAGAAAACAAAACAAAGTGGACAACTTGTGCATTAAAGTTTCTGTTAAAAGCCCAGAAATAACTAGAATTGCATGCATTGTCAAACCCAGGTCCTTGTACAACCAGGCCCGCATTGCCAGCAGTAAGTCGAGCTCGTTCCCAGTGAGAGTTGGACTCCCCCAAGGCCGCCCTTATCAACAATTCTGTTCATAACTTCTTTGGACAGGATTTCTAATTTCAGCCAAGGTGTTGAGGAGATCCATTTTGGTGGCCTAGGATCAGATCTCTGCTTTTTGCAGATGATGTGGTCCTGTTGGCTTCATCAGAACGTGATGTTGGGCTTTGCTGGAGCGGTTAGCAGCTGGGATGAGAATCAGCTCATCTAAATCCAAGAACATGGTCTTGAGTCTGAAAAGCGTAGAAAGCCTTCTCCGTGTCCGGAATGAGTACCTGCCTCAAGTGGAGGAGTTTAAGTATCTCAGTGTCATGTTCACGAGTGGGGGAATACTGGAGTTGATACGCGGATTAGCTGCATCTGCAGTGATGCGGGCGATTTACGTTCCTACCCTCACCTATGGTCACAAGCTTTCAGTAGTGAGCAAAAGAATGAGATCGCGGATACAAGCAGTCAAAATGAGTCTTCTCCACAGGGTGGCTGGGCTCTCCCTTAGAGATAGGGTGAGAAGCTCAGTCATCCAGAAGGGCTTGGAGTAGACCCACTGCTCCTCCACATCGAGAGGAACCAATTGAGGTGGCTCAGGCATGTAGTTAGGATGCTTCCTGGACGCCTCTCTGGTGAGGTTTTCTGGGCACGTCCAGCTGGGAGGAGACCCAAAAAAAGACCCAGAACACACTGGAGGGACTGAATCTCGGCTGGTCAGGGATTCCCTCTGAAGTGCTGGCCCAAGTGGCTGGGGAGAGGGAAGTATGGGCCTCTGTGCTTAGGCTGCTGCCCCCGGGACCCGACCCCGGGACAAGCGGTTGAAAATGAATAGATGGATGGATGGATGTTAAACCCAGGAGCAATGCTGACCTCCTGAGAAGCCAGCAGATGCAACACAAGTCTTTTATGCTAAATTCTAGAAAGTGCTAAAACCATAGTGGCTATTTTATTACTGCATTTCTTCTTCATATCATACATACAACATCTTTTTAAACAATCAAACTTGAAATTCTCAAAAAACAAAAACCAGCAAGTGCAAGATAATGTTTTACTACAGTCTGGGATGTTCACCTGATTGGTGGTGGGATACGGGGACAGAGCCGTGGAGCCCAAATTGCGTCCCAGCAGGGGGTTGACAGGCGTGCGAAATGAAGTGTGTGTAGCACGCCAGTATGCCTCCAGGTACTCTGCCAGGTGCTCACAGGCATCTTCCAGCTGGTTCTCATCCAGAATTATGTCAAACATCTCCTGAGGCGTGAGAGGAGGAGACACAAGAGCAGTTGGTGCATGCAGCATTATCCACATGTAGAGTGAAGCTTTGGCTGTTTCTTTTGATTTAAAAGTGAACGTTTGGAAGTTTACGCACAGATGGGCACTGAGCCAGCTTCTCAGCTGCAACGAGCTGCACATTTAAATGTTTGCTTTGAGATTTTCCTCTTGATTTGATGAGCCGCTGCAGAACCTGTAAAATACATATAGAGTAGGCAAGCATAAATATAAATCTCAAATTATGGAACAAAAATAGATTGCATGCAAGTTTACTATACATAATGCATTTTCATTCAAGCAACCTTACAAAGTAGCTCCACACACTACACTCATGTTTTCTGCCAGGATAGATTTGCCTTCTGTTGTACTGAGACTAAAATCACAGTAAAATCCTGCTGTTCGGACGATGAATGTTAATAATCTTTTCATGATATTAAAAACAAAAGTAAAAAAAACCTAATTAGCCCCTTGTACCACATCATGAAAGTGTTTTTTCACATTTTTTTTTTACAGCGCTGCTTTCATTCATAGAGGTTAATTAGCCCACATACTGACATGTTTGGTACATCCAACTTCAGACTGAAAATCTTGATCTTTCTGATCAGATTTAGCCCAAAGGCATTAAGGTAACATTAAGTAGTTTTTTTTTAACTTAAAGCTAGAGCCTTAACATTGATCTCAGTTATTGTTGGGTTAGAAACCTAACCAGTTACATATTTTAAATGTCGCTGAGTGACACCACTCTGCAGCCCTCTGCAGGCCAGATACTGCACTTAACAGCTTAGTGGAGCGGGTAGGTGTTCTAGGGTGCCAAGCATATGTAACGGAATGGAATGACTGTTTTTCCCCTTCTCTGCACAAGACTAGTCTGCATGAGATATGGTCTCAAGGTCTCATGTGTTCCTTCTAACCTGCTTATTTTCAGCTCAACAGAAGAATGAAGAATGAATTAGTTTCTTTTAATAAATCAAAGAACTCTATTTTAATAAAGCTAATCTATCAAAGTGTTAGTCAATGAATAAGATGTGACCGATCTGTGAAATCAAAATATTAATTACTTTATTATAATCCTATAAAATATAATAAGTAATATGACTTTAAAACGTTCCAACAGGACTCATTTCACGCAGCGTTAAAAAGACATGACACATTACTTTCACTGATCCAATCAGAATCTCACAGATCTGACGGAGGTGTGGTTTTGATGGTGTTTGGTCATTTTTCATTTGACAATAAACTATAACATCCGAAGTATAGAACAATGCCCACGTCATCTCTAATGCCAGTTCAAAGCGTTCCAGAGAAAGTGACGGAGTGGCCAATCCTGATCTAAACTCTTTAACCGAAAGAAACAACGACAAGCTGAAAAATTCATCGCTATTCCAACAGCGGCCACAGTTCCTTTTAGAATAAAAGCTGAACCATCAAGACCCAGGCTCGGGTCTCACCAGACCCCAACAAAATTGCCGTGACCCGGACGTATCCCAGGACGGGTGGTCGGTTGCCGTGGCTTCTTCTACGGGCTCCGGTTCCATAAGGTTAAGATGGACCTTTACACCTCCTGATCTCGACGGGGACTTCCGCTCAGGGTATGTAGACCGGCAAATGGTGTCTCATGTGTTTATGAACCTCCTAACCAAAGCTTAATGCAAAGACATCACCTTCAGTTCCCGTCAGAACTAATCGTTTCTTCAGATTTGCTGGTTCTGATTACATCACACGTCATCCATTCACCGTCTCATCCACTTTAGTTACACCATACATGTAGTGTTTAAAGTCAGTCTAGTTTAATTTGTTAGTAATAAAATTCTTAACTTTTAAAATTGACTCTCTCTCTTCTGTTGTCTCTGAGTGAATACGAAGCTGTTTTCTAATCCCTGCAATAAAAAGTTCCAATCTTCTGGTTTAAATAACCTAACAGATCAGTAAGGTGGATTTCATATTTCCTATGGACTCCTACGCCTTATGGCTCATTAAATAACCTGTAATCTAATTCATTACACATACCTGCATTACAGCTGCTGGCTATTTTCTGTGCAGTTAGCTTTTTCAGTTTGCTGATCGTCAATAGAAAGCACAATAAGAAGTTTGATTTTCTGTTGGCATCATGGCGAAGCCTAAAAGTAAGGGTAAGACAGTAATGTCTTTGGAGGTGAAGCAAAGAGCTAAAACCGGAGCAAGCATCTAGTTTAGGGAAGCTGAAAAGGCTATGAAATCACAGGCTGATGGTGACCTGGCTTTGTTGCTGGACTTGTAAGTAATTATGTTGTTTGTCCAATAGTGTGGATCTTTTAAATTGTGTCTTACTTAGTAAGACTTGACTCGTGTTAGTGTTAGCTCGTTGGTAGCACTAGCTACAGCAGGCTGCTGCAGGGTTGCTTACAGTAGTTGCAGTTCCACTTTCAGCCAGTAGGGTGGAGGAGCAGGAAACTGCTCTGTGTTACTTTAGGCTGGGTTTCTTATCCATGTAGCTGACAGGCAAAGTCATGTTTCCTATATTAGTTTTTTCTGCACTCCAGCTAGTTTCTGCTTTTAAAGGTCTGTCACAGCAGGTCTGGATTTGATTGGACCACTGATTTTTTTATTTCTTATTTTCAGCTGTTCGGATGTAGCTCTGCTTCTGTATTTGGGGTCATTGTTCTGTTTTATGTCCCTGTTTGGTCCAAGCTTCAGCTGTGAGACAGATGGACTCACATTAGTCTTTGGTCTAGAGGAGATCATGGTGGACTTGGTGACATAAGCGTTATGCAGTGGCCATCAGTCTTACCTTGGCTGAAGACACTTTAACATGAACAACAATGGGAGCTAATGATGTCTTGATGAGCTGTGCTGGGTGATTAATTGTGTCTGCATCCAAAACCACCAGCTGAAGAGATCTCGCCAGCTCAAAGATCCTTTCTATTTCACTCTGCACCTCCGCTAAAGGTAAACAAGGACGTACAGCAGAAGGACAACGGGATGAGCCGACAGTTCAAAAATATTTATCACCTCCTTCAACACCTACAAGACATGCACATCATTGAGTGAGACAGTCCTGTAGCTTTACCAAGGCTGGAGCGGGTGTTGGATCTCTCAATGATGGCCCTCTTACTGGGGTTGTTAAGTACTGACCTCTTGGCCAACGATATGTCAGCTGTGACCCTTGTGATGGATATCCTGCAGAGAAGAAAATTGTACATGTCACAAGAGGACATCGGCAGCAGGATGACGGCTTTACAAGAGAGGCTGTCATACTGTCACCACTCACCTCCCATCAAACTTGTGCTTCAGGAAGTCAAACAGTGCTTTCTGCATCATGTCTGTCACCTGCAGCAGTGGATCAGGTTGATGACAGAGGATGAAAAGGGAAGAGGAAGATAAGAGCAGATATAAAGTTCATGAAATGCAATGCAGAGGAAGTGACTTGTAAAGGTGTTTATACAAGCTTATATTATGCACATTTTTACAGTTATACTGAGCAACAAATGAGAAAATCTGGGTTGTTGTTCATTCTGATGAAGCTCATTCATGCTGCTGCCAAGTCAGACCTGTGCATTACACACTTGACCGAGCTCTACTCTGCACCGTTGCACAATTTTTCTTCTGAGCTGACATACAAAAAATGTGATTAGAAGCAACAAAAAGTGGCCAAAAAATATAAATAAAACAGTGCACAGTGAATGACTAAAGTACACCAGCCAACTTTTAAAGTAAGGTTTTATTCTGAAACTCAATTTCGATTTTTTATATTTTTGCTATTATTCATTTTCTACAGCATCCAGAAACATTTATGATGGGTAAAAACTGATATTAACATTATTGAATTAATGTTTTGACTGTTAGGCATCTGGTGTCTGTTTAAATGTAGCTCATTCCATTTATATTACTCTGCGAACAGACAGGCTTTTGCAGGTCCTACAGGGAGGAGGTTTTGGGAGGTTTGACCTTGTCTTGGTACCGGTCCTGGTACCAGTCCTCTTATCAGTAAAACTCCCTTGAGAAAGTCCAGACTGCTCTTGTTGATTTAAAATGCACCTGGTGTGTCTATTACGGCTTCCTGTCTGAAAGTCTCAACGTGTGTGCGTAATCTTTTGTGTGTGCTTAATAAAAGCTTTTGGAGGACATCTGTCCGACGAGAGCGAACTGACAACCTGACTGGTGTGTACTTTTTCCTCTCCACTTTGTCGTCGTCGTCTTCCTCCGCTTATCCGGGTCCGGGTCGCGGGGGCAGCATCCCAACTAGGGAGCTCCAGACCGTCCTCTCCCCAGCTACCTCCACCAGCTCCTCCGGCAGGACCCCAAGGCGTTCCCGGACCAGATTGGAGATGTAACCTCTCCAACGTGTCCTGGGTCGACCCGGGGGCCTCCTGCCGGCAGGACATGCCTGAAACACCTCCCCAGGGAGGCTTCCTGACCAGATGCCCAAACCACCTCAACTGACTCCTTTCGATCCGGAGGAGCAGCGGTTCTACTCCGAGTCCCTCCCGAATGTCCAAGCTCCTCACCCTATCTCTAAGGCTGAGCCCGGCCACCCTACGGAGGAAACTTATTTCGGCCGCTTGTATCCGCGATCTCGTTCTTTCGGTCATTACCCAAAGCTCATGACCATAGGTGAGGATTTGGACGTAGATCGACCGGTAAATCAAGAGCCTGGCTTTCTGGCTCAGCTCCCTCTTCACCACGACAGATCGGCTCAGCGTCCGCATCACTGCAGACGCCGAACCAATCCGCCTGTCGATCTCCCGATCCCTCCTACCCTCACTCGTGATACTTAAACTCCTCCACTTGAGGTAGGACCTCTCTCCCGACCCGGGGTTGGCAAGCCACCCTATTCCGGTCAAGAAAACTTTGTAAAGTCTAAATTGATTGCTGATTAATGGTATTGGTTTTGATAAATTGATTACCATTTCCCCATGTGCTTTGAACTTTCTCTGAGGTAATCCTGGGTTGATAAAATTACCCAACAGTTTATGAGCATGATTACAATCACCAGCTGCTGTCTAACTAATACAGATCAGAGACCAACAAGAAATAAATCCTGCAAAAGAAAAATAAAAGCTAAATAAAGTAAACTGCTGCACTGGCAGATGTTTCATCTTAAATCATTTGGATCAGCATCAGGGATGATAACTGTTGATCAGATCCTCCCTGGAGGCACAAACACAAATTGTATTCAGCTTGTTTCACTGGGCTGCAGCTGCTGGTGACTATGAACACACACCTGTGAGTAAAAATGCACATTTTCATTTCAAACTGAATTTGTATATCAGATCATTTTTAACATGCTTACAGGGCCTCTTGCGGGGCTTGTGATGAATGCTCACTGTTTAAATTAGGTCTTAATTTGTTCGCGTGTGGCCTCATTTCAATAGACGACCATTTCACTCCTGTCACAACCCCTTCCAAGGTTCTCTCACGTTTTTCACACCTTCTGACTCATGCTAACTCGATGGAACAGGTTCCAGGTGCCTGGAATGACTCATGACATCTCCACCAAACTAGAGCAAGGCACATGAAACTCAAGAACTTTTGCAAACTTTTGAGACATTTTGAAAGCCCCCTCATGAATGCAGTTTACAACTTGTCACCAGTAGTTCCAGTCCAGCGAGTTACTGGCCTGAAAGCTAAACAAGTCTCATCCTCTGATGATCCTTTAACAGGATCCTGCAACAAAAGCATCATTTTATTAGATGTTGCTACAGCACATCTTTACTTGTGTTGGACAACTATGTTAGTTTTAATATCAGAACAGTCCCAAAGTGTTCCCGTTTGGTTGCTATTTGGACATTTTAGAGGAAAAACAATCACTTGACTCATGTCCCACCTTCAACACTTAATTTCTGTGGTTCTAATTTCAAACCGTGTTCCACTTTTTCAGACCGATGCGGTTTATCTAGAAGCCTGTTACCATGGCAACACCAGACAGGAAAGGAGGTGAGAAGCGTGATTCCATGACAACCGACTTCAGCTCTGCCACCACCTCCGTGGCTTCTTTTATTATCTGTGCTGTGCTTCCAGCTGATCATCAGTGAGCACTCGATTTAATTTGAATGTTGAGTCTGTGGGAAGAGCTCTCTGTGAGGTGACTGCTTTTCACTGTAAGCACACTGCCTGGATTGCTTTGTGGACACAAACATGTCTGAAAACACACAAGTGACTGTGGAGAAATGTCTGGGAAGATTTCACCTCGTAACCTTTCAGGGACGGACCCACCAGCACGACCGGCCTCATAGAGGGAACCACATCATAGGGCGGGAGGTGCTCAGTCTGGAGGGGCGGGAGCAAACAGCTAGTCAACTTGTGATATTTTATAAACGTTTTCTCAGCTCTTTTGTGTTTCTGTATTTTATTTACCTAAATATGAGTCCAGCAATGGTAAACGATCATTTTAAAACAACAGGAAGTTGACTAAAAACATTTATTTGATTTAAATTCAAATGGAAAAAAAATATTAAGCCTGCTTTTATTTGTTATCAGAAGCAATATTAAATTCAGGCACAAATAAATAAAATATATATGCTTTTGCTTTAACAGCCCAGTAACTTAGTAAGACAGCAGCAATAACATCTCTGTCTCACAGCAGCAGCTGAATAGCACTGAATTATAATCGAGGTACAGCCTGGACCATCTTAGAGCTGCGTAATGCAGACATAGGTGCACCAACCGCATCGTTAAAAAGGATAATTTGGTCATCATGAAATGTGTTTCTGTGCAAAAGTTGTAAACATCCAACGTCTTTCTAATATCTGCAGCCTCTGCTTGGAGGAATGTGGCTACATCCTAATGGTTGTTGCAAAAACTAAGTGTATTAATGTCGTTTTGTAACTGCTCCAGTCTCCTAAATATCATAGAACCTTTACAGCATTGTCAATATCTATGTTCTATACACACGATTATGTGGTTTTTGTGCAGAGGTGTTACACAAGTTAGCAAACGTCGTATCTAAAACAAGCGGAGGCATTTTTAAAAGATGTCATCCATAAAAATCCAACAAATTTAATAAGAAATCAGATCTTTTAACAGTTACTGTTCAAGGAAAATCATTCATCTTTAACTTCTTTAACCTCATGGTAATTTTATACAGGCCATATAAATGACTGCTCCTGTGTGTAATTCACCACACTCACCACTTTTTGTTTCTGCTTTCCTGAAAAAGAAGCAAAAAGATCATGAGGAAACGAGGAAACTAAACCCATGTGTGGTATGCGAGCTGTAGGACGGACCTGCCGAGTTTGGGTTTGGTTTGAATGTGCCGGACACCACTTCTCCCAGACTGGAGGAAGAATTGGCGCTGGATTTACTGCTGCGTTAACGACAGAGAGCAGAAGGAGGAAACGCTCGTGTGAAATTCAAAATAAACATTAGCTCTCCGCTGAGGTGCAGGTTATTTATAGACTTCTTGTGATGTGAGTGAGCTAAAGACAAAAAAAGGCAGCGTAGTCAGTTATCAGAATTCAAATGGGTTATAACTTTGGCATCAAGCTGCAGGTTTAACAGATATAAACCTAACCGACTTCTCGGTGGAACAAACCAAAAACAAGAACAAAATGATTTAAGATGGTGAGACTTTTCATCTCACAGCGTTGTCTCAGCATCACTAATCATCTCGTTGGCTAAAACCCAGCAGCTCCATCTGATGGAAAATCCTGCCATGGCCACAGACCAGGCACACCTTGGAGAGGCCGGACCACACAGCACAGCCTGGCTGTCATCCACAGATCTGTTGCTTATCTCCAGGCTCAACTGCCAACTTCTGCTTGTCCCTAAAGAGTCTCTCTTCTAAATCTAAAGCCCCTTCTATGTCTGCTGCCACTGAGTCCTCTGCAGTCAGCACTCACTCGTCTCTTCTGCTCACCTATGGAAGCGCCCTCTCTTCTGCTCCTGCTGGAGTCGAATGTTTTCCAGCTTCAGCGGGCTCGGGATGAAGCCAACATCACAGCCCTCTTTCACCAGGCGGCCGATCCACCAGTCGTTGTTGTACTTCTGTGAGGAAAACCACAAGAACACTAAAATAAGTAAAGAAAATAAAAAGATCTCAAACCTGATCTGCTTTCTTTATTCTTTAAATTCTGGGATAGCGCAAGGACTGTCTGTGTGCTCATTACTGCCACTAACATGAGTGGTGCACGGTGGTTTCCACCCCTCTGTGCCGGTGTACGAAGGTGTAGAAGAAGAAGGAGAAGTTTTATTTATGTTGCACTTTTCAAAGACGCAAGTCACAAAGGGCTTCACGTTGTAGTCACAGAGAAGTGGATGTCTGGTTTGGGAACATCTGGATCTCATCTTTGCTTTTAGCAGATGATGTAGTTCTGTTGGTGTCTTCAAGCCACGACCCTTCAGCGTACACTTAAGGGATTTGCAGTCAAGTGTGAAATGGCTTGTCCTTGACTGAAGTTGGAACAGAGCAGGAGATGGACTGATGGGTTAGGGTTTCATAATTAGTAAAGAAAGTGTGGTGGTGAAGAAGGAGCTGAGTGAACAGAAATCCCAGATAAGAGAAGTGAGCTCCTTATATAGGCAACTGAGGAGCTCCGTCTACTGGGGGGGGTGGGGGGTGGTGGGGGGGTGGGGGTGGAGTAGAGCCGCTGCTCCTCGCAGCAGAAAGAAAGGTGGTACAAGCATTTAGTGAGGATGCTTCTTGGTCGCCTCAATTGGAGGTATCCCAAGCATATCCCACTGGGAGGACATCCCGGAAAGACCAAGAACCCACTGGATGGATTATACACCTTCTCTGCCCTTGGAGCACCTCCTTCAGAGGGAGCTGTGAAGAGGATTGTCTGGGCTTTCCTCCTGGGCCTGTTACAGATAAGTGGAAGAAGATGGAATCAAATAGTTCTATTTCATCTGTACTTTTTCATTTTAGACAAAGCTGATGTGGGAGAATGTTTTCATGCCTGTCGTTCACATTACAGGATAACCTGAAGGACTTGAAACCTGCAGACAGCAGGCTGCAGGGTTAAAGTCAGTTGCAGTCTACTTTAGTACTGTAGAGAAGATGTTCTTACATTTAATTAGAAACCATAGAATGTGAAGTATCATAAAATATGAAATATCACCTTAATGGATCTTTGAGTAAATTGAACCAGAATATCGGATCGTTTTATTGCAGGGATTGAGCAACACTTCGTATCAACTCCAAGAAAGAGAGAGAGTCAGGTTTAAAAAGTTAAAAAGATTTATTTCTAAACAATTTGAACAAGACTAACTTTAAACACTACATGTGTGATGTAATTAAGGTGGAGTAAGACTGAGGATGGTGTGTGTGTGAAATATGTTCAGAACCAGCAAATCCGGAGAGACTGTTAGTTCTGAGTGGGAGTGAAAGGGTGTTTCACTCTAAGCTTTGGTTTGGAGATTATAGCACACATTGAGACCCCATCTGTCAGTCTGCGTACCCCAACGGAAGTCCCCGATTAGATCCAGAATGTCGAGGGTCCAGCTTGGACCCTCTTGGAACCGACGCCTGTAGATATGCAGCGGTTGCCGACCCTTCCAGTCTTGAGTTACTCCCAGGTCACGACAGTTTATTGGCATCAGCGAGACTCTGAAGGGGTCGTGATGGTTCAGCTTTTTTCTGAAGGAACCGTTGCAGCAGGTGGAACATGCAACAGATTTGATCCAGCTTGTCGTTAGGTTCTTTCGGCTTTAAGAGGAAAGTTACGGATTGGCCACTCCGATAACTTCTCTAGAACGCTTGGAACTCAAGTTAAGATGACGTGGGGCATCGTTTTATCATTTGGATGTTTTGATTTACTGTCGAATCAGAATTAGACAGGAAAAAAGGGGATTTACCAAGCACCAACAAAACCACGCCTCACGTCAGATCTGGAAGGTTCTGATTGGATCAGGAAAAGGAAATGTGTCACGTGACTTTAGCATTAAGTGTGATCAGTCTAGTGTCTAGTTTAAAGTTATATTACTTATTATAACACTATCATAGGATTATAATATCAAGTAATTAATATTCTCATTTCACAGATTCATTGAACATTGAGCTTTGAATGATTATTTGGACTAACAAAGTTATTTGATTATTATTTAAAGAGAAGAGTTCTTCGTCTTCTTTCTTCTTTCTTGTGCTGTCCGAGGAAGCAACAGTTTAGATAAGAGCACAGAGCATGAGTGGCCTTGGCCCATATCTTGTAGATTAGGCTTGTGTCAGAAACTTATGGTTTTGCTTGGGCAGAGCAAATAGAGCGGGGCCTTTTAGGTCAGAAATGGACAATTCATCACGCTACAGTACCAATCTTGATTTTGGCCCGTTCAGCCATATTTTTGTTACATTTGGTAAACAAACATTCTTTCTTGCACCAAAATGAATTTTTTTCATTATTTGTTTCTTATCAAAAAAGATTGTTTTATCAAGGATCCAACAGTCCTGCATGAAAATAAATAAATAATAAAATAAAACATTGTCTGTTCAACTTAATTCGAACTAGGACAACTAGACTTCCTTCATTTGCAGGAAAAATGTTGCTCTCCATGGAGGGAGATTTATCTATTCAAAATAACACATACCAAGCTTTAGAACTGCAGTGTTAAAGTATTTACGATAAACGTCTTTAATCACAACATCTAGTGAACTTCAAACTCAGCTAGACCTGAAAAAAATCTAACTACACAGGACACCCAAAGACAAACTGATTTGTGTTAATTCCAGAAGGTTTCACATTTTCAGGCATGTGGACAAATTAACTCACATGCTGACCAGGACAACAAAGGCCCAGATGTTTAAACCAGGTTACATAAACAAAGTTATACTCAAATGCATGAGTTTGGTATACTCTGTACTATTCATTTTGAAATTATGAATTGAAATATTATGAAAACACAAAGGATGCCTTTATTTTGAAAGTTTGCAGAAAGAGTTGTATTAAAGTTTAACTAGAACTGGGCCAAACAAAGGCCTTCTCCCACTTCTACATTATAAAGATATTAATCATATAGAAATGGGACCAATAGAATCTTTCCGTTGTTGAAGATGGAGAATAATAGACTGGCTTAGCTGGAAAGAGAAGAAGAGTTAGAGCCACGTAAAAGGAAACAACATGCATAGCATCACCAAACAGTGAGTGAACGGCACCTCTTTGATGTGGAGGAAGTCCTTGGCATCAAAAGAGACAGCAGTGCCAGGCACAGGAACATCCTCATCCAATGCACCACAGAAACTCACGTTGGTCCTCACAGCAAATGCAACAGCTTTACTCTGTTGGACAGACAAAAATATGTTTAATCATCTTTATACAATGTGATGATGTAAAGTAGGGTTGGCTCATATGAAAAACCCTTTAAATGCATTAAACAGACGGCAGAGACATGAGCACAGACACAGCTAGCCTGTTTCCCCTCTGCAGAGCCGTGTGTTTTTTTTACCACCAGTGTGCTCATCCATCTGCTGCATCACACATGCAGCAAGCCTGCCTCGCAGTGAGGAGTGGGCACTGGTGAAGAGCCTCCTGACAGCAACAAGAGAGCAGCAGTACAGATCACACCGGATGCGCTGCACATGGCTGGGAAGGGGAGCGCACCTCACTCCGAGGGTAAAAACACAGACGGGAACAGGCTCAGAGTTCACCAACTAAGAAGGGAGCAAATGCAATGAAGATTTTTCTGTAACACTGTACCAAAATCGGCTTATCTAATGACTACCTATGACAAGCAAATCAGTATTTAATGATTAACTAATGATTACCTAAGCTTCACAACCACCCCATGGTGGATTTATTAGCTAATGATTCCTGAATGATTACTTAATGAATAAATGAATGAATGAATGAAATCTTTATTTCGAACATTATAATAAGAATAAAAATAACTATAACAATAATAATAATAACAAAGTCATTGTAGACATTAAAAATAAAATCACACTGATAATAACACAAAAATTAAATTATCATATTCTGTTCGAAAAGGAGTAGGAGGAAGCTAGTGCTTATTAAATCCTACCCCCCTTTTCCCATTTGTTCAAGATCAAAAGGAACAATGCCGTTCTCCTAATTCATCATACATTTTCTATTCTATTCTATTTTCTATTCTATTCTATTTTCTATTTTCATCTATAGTCAAATGGCTCATGCAAAATAGTTCCACATGCCTTTTCCATTTATCCACCACACACAGCGATTAACATTCCCTACTACACATACTTACAACACACCCCATTTTCTCACCCTCACACCACTCATTGGATCTTTTTGAGTCAAAATCCCTCTTCCTCCCTGTACCTCATAAAGACCATATTTTTGTACCACGTTCTAAATTGGGTCATACTTGGACATTGCTTTAAATCACCATTTAATCCATTCCATAATTTTACCCCTCAAACAGAGACGCACTGACTTTTTACTGTTGTTCGCACAGACGGGTATTTTAAATTCCATTCCTCTCTCAAATTATATTGTTTATCTCTATATGAGAAATACTTTTGTATATTACCAGTTTGTCATTAGCTTTATATATGATTTGTAATGTCAAGAATTGAACAAGGTCAGTAAACTTTAATACTCGTGATTTCATTCATTCATTCATTCATTCATTCATTCATAACATTTTTTCATTCGGTTTATGTTATGTATGTTATGTAATGGTTTGTTAATCATGAAATGACTAAATAACTAATCAGACACTAATGATTACCTAATCTTCAAAAAAACAGCTTAACTAATGATGAACAAATCAGGATCTAATGATTAATTAATGATTACATAAGCTTCACAACCACTCCATTGTGGATTTTTTAGCTAATGACTTTTTGATTTTTTTTAAATAATCATTTAATTAATCAAAGGGACAAAAAATGCATCCAACAGCGTTAACTGTGTTGTTTCACAGCTGCTACTAACAGATTCTAGCACTATTACAGTGTCACTTGTTTGATAAACACAAATTATACTGTGTTTGTTGGGATAAGCAAAACTTTACTAGATATATTTGGTGTTCCTTTGCTTTAGATTTATAATACTTGTGTTAATAAACAGTGTATCAGGGTTTGTCGATGGGATGAATTATGCGATGGACTGAGCCATGGTTGTTTTAACAAGAGGCCATTTGTTTATTTATTCATTTGTTTGCCCGTGAGTAAGTTTGTTAATAACAACTTTTGCATGTTATAAACAGAGAACATTGCGGAGGTAACAATCAAGAAAAGATCTCCATCATCGCATCTGAGGATTATCTCACACTTTCTCTGCATCTCATTGCTGACAGTGCACGCCCGCAAGCTGCAGGTGACCAGCTCAGGTTCACACGGAGCAGAAGGATTAAGCGTTCGGGCCGCAGCAGGTAAAACAATTCATCTTTATGTCATGATTTAAGTGAAATTGTTTACATGTTACTGGGGCACTCTGTTCAGCTTGTTTGACCTAAACATTAATTTAAAAATGAATGGAAATTTAACAGTATTGAATGATTATTTACTACTTTAAAAATAAAAGTGATGTTTGAGGATAAATGGATCATGTGACCTCTGGCTGGAGCAAATGGTCCCTCCTCAGAGTGCATTCAAATGCAGCAGCGATTCATTCCATTTGTATGGGCCTTAAAGTAAATGAAGAGAGGTTTGCTTGCATTTGTCAATGTTTAAAATGCTGTTTGTTTATTTGATGCAGTCTTGATGTGTGGGTCAATCAAGTGGGAGCAGAAATCCTCAAAAGCGCTCATCAGTTCCACCGACTGTCAGTGAGATGGGGCGCCGCACAATTTGTTGACCGCGTAACAGATTGCTGAGAATAAAAGTGAATCCAGAAAGCATCTGTTGTAGTGATGTGTCGGTCGCGACCAAACCGGCTATAAGAGCCAGCTCTTTGAAGTGAACGACAGGAGCCAGCTTGTCATTGGGACGCCTCCCCTCCCCTCTTGCTTTGGTGAAAGCTACAGGCGATTGGTCAACATGTGTAACTGCGTGTCCAGACTGTCCACACACAGAACAGTAGGGGCGGGGAAGAGGGAGGATCAGACTCAGACACACAGCAGAGCACATGCGGGTGGAGGGAGACGAGAGGGAATGAGGAGGAGGAAAAAGGTGAGCGAGAGAGAGGAGAGTGCGACGAAGATGGTGAGAAAATGAGCGCCAGCAGTCAGAAAGTGGAGATTTCTTAAAGTGTTCAGTTATAAAATCCATAGAAATGATAAATATTTGATATATAGGGATGTGTATTGGTGAAATTCTGGCGATACAATACGCATTACGATACAGGGGAGACGATACAATATATCACGATATATTGCGATACATTCAGTCAGACGATATTGGTGATTTTGTTTAGACTAAATTTATTATAGGAAAATTCAATAAACAGTCCAAACTGATACTTAACATGTTTAACCATAACAGAGGGATTTACATTTCAATAGTAGAAACAAAAGCCATTACACACTGCTGCCAACTAGTGGTCGGAGTTGGAATTGCACCACAAGAAAAGAAAATACACAATTGTTTCCATGTAAATTCTTTCAAAAATTAGATACACGACTTTTGAATATCTATACATTTTTGCAAGAAAAAAATCACAATATATTGCAATATCAATATTTTTGATCCACAGCTTTTGAATATTGATATAATATCGCTGGGGAAAATATCACGATATATTGCCATATTCGACATTTTCTTACATCCCTAATATATAGCATTTTTTACATTAGTAAATCATTTTACATATAGTTTTGCATTATTTTGGTTATAAATGTACTCTACGCAACAGAAATTTTGAGGAGCCACTTGGGAGCCGAAAGAGCCGGCTTTTTGGTGAGCTGAGCCAAAAGAACTGGCTCTCTAAAAAGAGCCGGAATTTCCATCACTAATCTGTTGACAATGTGAACTATATAGCACAGAAGTTTAAGTATTAAAGTTAATTCAAACAAGAACCAAAAGGATCTCAGTCAGTTATTGTTCAGCGCGTCATACTGGACCCTATCTCAAGCAAAGCGGCATCTGGGTTACGTTTCCAGGAGCCGCTGGACCACCGTTTCTCAAACTCATAAAAGAAAGAAACCCAGTATCCTATGTTTAAAAAAAAACGTTTTGCTCAAATAAAATATCACATTGGTGGGCTCCGCAGGAAAACAAAGACGATGTTTCTTTTTTAACCCTTTAACCGTGTTTAATACGAGCAATTTGTATGTCACTCTACCAGACAACAAATACAGAATTAAACAAAAAGACAAATCAAAATTTCTCTTCCACTAAACATATTTGCTGTGCTTGCATAAAAATTTTATGTATAGACTTCTTCTGTGTTCGCAAATCAGTCCAAATTAATCACCCAGCATCATTTCTTGGACTGACGATTGGCGGTGGGAAAAATTATACAAATTGCCCAACCTTGATATTAATATGATAATGATATCTCAAACTCTCCAAGTTAATTGTGAATACTGTATGTGATATTAACGATGAACATAAAATTTTCATCAGTATACTGAATAGTTTGATTACGTCCCCTCCAGTCCAACGTCTCCTCCTCCAATCCAGTGGTTGACGTCTCCCCCTCCAGTCCAGAGGCCGACGTCTCCCCCTCAAGTCCAGTGGTCGACGCCGTCGCCTTCAGTCCAGTGGCCGACGCCTCCAGTCCAGAGGCCGACGTCTCCCCCTCAAGTCCAGTGGTCGACGCTGTCGCCTTCAGTCCAGTGGCCGACGCCGCCGCCTCCAGTCCAGAGGCCGACGTCTCCCCCTCCAGTCCAGAGGCCGACGTCTCCCCCTCAAGTCCAGTGGTCGACGCCGTCGCCTTCAGTCCAGAGGTCGACGCCGTCGCCTCCAGTCCAGAGGTCGACGCCGTCGCCTCCAGTCCAGAGGTCGACGCCGCCGCCTCCAGTCCAGAGGTCGACGCCGTCGCCTCCAGTCCAGAGGTCGACGCCGCTGCCTCCAGTCCAGAGGTCAATGCCGCCGCCTCCAGTCCAGAGGTCGACGCCGTCGCTTCCAGTCCAGAGGTCGACACCGCTGCCTCCAGTCCAGAGGTCGTCGCCGCCGCCTCCAGTCCAGAAGTCAAGGACGTCTCCTTCGGCGTCTCTGCCGCTGGTCGCCGCCGGTCCTGCCCTCGCCAGGCGCGGGCCCCCAAGAGCCCGTCGGCATCTCCTCCTCTGCCCCAGAGGCGGGCCCCCAAGAGCCCGTCTGTGTCTCCTCCTCTGCCCCAGACGCAGGCCCCCGGACTCTGCTGGTCCCTGCCTCCTCTCCACCAGTCCCTCGGCTCCTCTTGGCCCTCCTTCCTGGTGCCCCTCCTCCCTTCCTGTTCTGTGTTCCTGTGGGCGTCTGGGATCTGCCCTTTTTTTGGGGGGGGGGGGGGGGGGTGTTCTGTCACATCCCGTCTTGTCTCCCCATTCTGTTCTGTCATGTGTCTCTGTTAATTGCTCCCACCTGCCTCTCGTTTTCCAATCACCCAAGCTCCCAGCCCTCATGTATTTAAACCCCTTCAGTTCTGCGTCTCTTGTTGGTTCATTGTTTCCATGTCCTGCGTGCGTTTGTCATTAAAACCTTTTACATTATCCAGTTTGTCTGCCTGCCTGCTTCTTCACTCATGTGTGGATCCTCACCTCTGCTTCACTCACCGGCACGTTTGTGACAGATGAGTCATTTGTTCCAGATTCGGTAATAATGACTGACCAAACATTAAGCAATCATTCAAGAATCATCAGCTAATAAAATTGGTTTGGGGATGGGTATAAAGCTAGGTAATCATTATTCAATCATTAGTGGGTGATTAAGTATTTATTCATTTAATGAATTACCAACCACTAAGAAAGCATTAAGAAATCCTTAAAGAATAATTGGCTAATAAATCCACTATGGAGTGGTTGTGAAGCTTAGGTAATCATTTGTAAATCATTAGATCCTGATTCATTCATCACTAGTTACTCAGTAGGGAAGCAGATTTGGTGAAGCGGTAATCATTTGTGTCTGATTGGATATCTAGTAATTTAATGACAAACCAACCATTAAGTAGTCATTTGGGAATCATTAGCTAATAAATCTACCATGGGGTGGTTGTGAAGCTTAGGTAATTATTAGTTTATCATTAACTCCTGGTCTGTTTAACATTAGTTACTCAGTAGGTAAGCCGATTTTTGGACCATTAAGCTACCAATTTTTCTAGATTAGAAAGAGAAGAAATTATTTTCTTTACATGTGAAAACAGTAATTTAATTATTTTAGCAAAGATCTTTTTATTTTTTTATTTTAAATAAAACTACTGTGTTGTCAGAATTAATAAAACAGAATGTGATAATTGACCTGCAATGTCCTGAATTGCATGTTTAATAGTTGGGAGAAATGATCAGAACTAATGTATAAACATTGTAGCATCATGAAGGCCCTCTAATTGTGACAAAGGTCACATTTTCCCAGCTGGGTCAAGCTGGGTCAGACTGTAACTTTTAAGTCCACAGATTAACCCAGGAGCCCTGATGTCTGCTAAAGAATCATTCTTATCTGCTGCTGTTCCGTCCCAGAAGAAGGACACTTCAAGTTCACGATAATAATCTAAATAATAATATTATTAAACTCTTTGACTTTATTACTGTTTATTATAATCATCATAAATAATCATTTGGTTCAGTATAAATGTATTTTTATTACTGAAATGAATTATATCGCTTTGGGTATAATTATGATTATGGTTGATGATCAGTAATGTGTATTCAGTAATCAGAAGGTCAACTTCCACTTATCCATCTAACACAGAGCTGATCCAGAGCAATGGTAACTTCCATCACATGTCTTGACTCATGACCAAAGTTTTCTTGCTCTGAGAGTGGGCGTGTTCTGAGGACTTTGTAAAACTAACTTCCAGCAGCTTTTCACTCAGTTCGTGAACCAACACCATCCTGAGGGAAGGGAACGGCCGTCCCGTAACCTCCACCTGCTGTTCTGTCCGCTGATAGAATAAGCTTTGAATAAACGTAACTGTAGCCAGCTGACGCAAAAACTCCTTCAGAGTATTGACTTGGAGACGCAAATAGTTCCACCAGTCGAGTGACCCAAGGAGACATCTCAGGACCGATTTGGTCGTGCCAAAGGTTTTTCTACCAACCTCGTGCCTGGAGGAAACCATCTCCACCTGGACACTTCGGATCCAAAAAGGGGGTCTTCTGATACTGGGTGAGGTAGACTTCTACAGAATGTGTTTGATGCTGTTCCTCTAAGTAAACTCAGTTAGCTGCAAAACCATCATTTCCAACCCAAAACGCGTTCCTCTCTCTGAAAGAAAAATTCTGCGAAATCCATTCACGCATCCAAACTCGTATTTCCAATTTAGCTTTCATTCAGTCACAGGTTTGCCTTTTAAAACAAGTTTAATATCAAAGCTGTTAAAAATTGTCATTAAATTGTCATCCATGAATTGTTATTTCTAATTGTCATTCAAATCGTAAAGTTTAAAAATTGTTAGTAATAAATTCTTCATTTTTAAACTTGCCTCATTCTTTGAAAAGAAACACAGAAAGGTATAATTATTTCTGAAAAAGCAAAGATTTCTAACTTCTGATTCAAAAATAAACTTTTGCTATTAAATTTAATTATCTTAAATTAAACGTTAATCTTTGGATTAAAAATGGACCAACAGGTTGGTGTATGAACTTATATCGATTATATAAGTATCCTGGATATTTATACATGATATAAGCTTCATAGATTTATCTGCTTGGTCATTCTCAGAATCTACAACTGAATAGCAACAGTGTTGATTCTAGTATGTAGATAGCCCTACAACATTGTAGATGTCTATAGTAAATACAGGTTTCAAATTTTAGAGGCTTGTACCTGGCACATTGTCTTTTGAATGGATAATTAACCTATTTTGAGGCACATTTCTGTGTAAATCTTACAAATATTAACTGTATAATCTAAACTTGCTCTTGTTTTGGAAGATTCATCCATTCAGGAAAAATTACATTGTTGATCTTTGTTGAGGTCAACACAAAATGCATCCTGGAGTTCTAAAGAGTTTTTATCAGACATTTGGGATTATCATCTCTTCACATCAGATTTTGTGTCCTCGCTGTTCAGTCAAATATTTTCCTGTGAATCTCACCTTTGCCCTCTCCAGCTGAACAGTGGCCTGTTGCTCCTTCTCTTGCCGGCCGCCCTCCTTCTCTTCCTCCAGAGACACATCCGAGTCAGACGGTCGGCTTGTGTAGGAATCAGCTGAGCCCTGGAGAGCAAGTGTTACCAGATGGTTGAATCTACCTCCAGTAGACAGCAACAAAGTAAAATGTTGCTTTTGTGAGAAAACCAAAGTAATTATTAAGAAAAGCATTAAAAATGTGATTCTATGTGGGTGATTCAAAAATAAACATAGCCAATACAAAATAAACACGCTGGTTTCTTTCAAACAGCAGAAGTTGAGCAAAAAGAAATAGTGTGTGCGTGCATGCGTGTGTGTGTGTGCGCGTGCGTGCGTGCGCGTGCGTGTGTGTGTGTGTGTGCGTGTGTGTGTGTGTGTGTGTGTGTGTGTGTGTGTGTTACTACCGATGGTTTCTACTGAGTGGTATCGCTTTTCAAGCAGGATCTAAGGCTAACAGGTTAAGGATGATGAAACGACTGAGAGGGAAAACTGCCTTTATACAGAAATAATGCTTTAAAATATTGTTTTTTTTTTAAATAAACAAATTGGACAAACTATGAATTTAAGTCAAGGAAAGGAATTTGTAGAAAAACGTCAACACTAAGAAGAACTGACTACATGGGTGTCGGTTTGAAGTGATCTTGGTGAACCTACAAGCAGATTTAAAAATAACTAGAACTGCAAGCAGTTATGAACGGGTTCCAAGCCAACCAGCGCCAGTCCCCCACCCGGCCCCACCCTCACTTTCGCCATTCCTCACGTGGCCCCGCCCCAAAAACACGTTCTCCTGCCAGCATCCCGTCAGCTCACTTCAACCGACGCAATGAAAGGAACACTCAGGATAACTCATTGAACCTTTTGCGCAGCGTATACGAAAATCTTTTATAGGCATGGCTAACATCTCAATCTCTATTACGATTCAGTTCCATATTTTAATTTTTAAAGATGGTGGAGACTTAGTTAAGTCATGTGCTGTATGGGAGGTCAGGAGGTGGAGTGGGTTTTCCAGTAATTGGAAGGTTGCATCCTTGATTCCGACTCTGACCAGAGAATGCTGCCTCGTCAGTGCTCCCCAGGGCAGCTGTGGCTACAGCGTAGTTCATGGCCACCAGTGTGTGACTGTGTGTGTGAATGGGTGAAAGACTGACTCTGTTGGAGGGTTGCTGAACCCTACTAAAGCGCTATACAAATACAGGCCATTTACCATTTCAATATTACTGACAATGTTCATTAAATTCATTTAAAATGTATTCCTTTTAAAGAAATTTCCAAAATATTGTCAGATCATCATGGGGTCATGATAAATCAAGTTTTGTAATTTTATTGTTTCTAAATTAAATATTTTTTAATAAAAAACATTTTGACATTAATAAACTGACTGAAACAAAAATTGTATTATAAAATCCATATTTGATCTAAAGATTACTAGACAATAATCTATACATCCACAAAATAACATAAATACTTGATAATGTCTCTAGATTTAATAGATTTTTAACTAAAACTATGAGTTTCATTTCATGACTTACTGATCAAATGATTTAAAAATTATTAAAAAATCCATAAATCATCAAAAAATTACCCAAATATTGTCACATGGCAATGTCAACATGTGGAATACAATGCTGTTTGGAAATCTGTAGATTCAAAGCTTTTCTAAAGAAAAATAGGTAAAAATCCTTTTATGGGTCACGCCCAAAATTTTAATATTCATAAAAAAATATGGCTACTTTATAAAATTAGTAGAAAAATCTCAGATCACCATAGGTACATGTGGAATGTTATACATGGTTTATAGTTACTCTATACCCAAAAAACATCCTAACAAAAATTGTTCACTTTTTTTTCAACTACACAGAAAAACTGACATAAAGTAAAAAAAAAAAAATTAAAAATCGATGCTTTTGTACAAAAATCTCAAAATATTCCAAGATTACCTTTGTGATGTGGGACTTCTGCTTATAATTTTGTAAGGATCATAAATGTTAAACTTTTCTTAACAATAGAATTGCATTTGCATTAGTGGCTGTCCATAAAAACAAGTCCTAATATTAAACACAAGGGGTTGCTCAAACCAAGACTACATTTTATGTGTTTCATAAGCCACCTAAGAGTGAATTCTTTGTCAAATTTCAAGAAGATTGTCATAACGGAATTTGCGCTACAACTGCTAGCCTAAAAATGCATTTTCGTAAATATAAAGAGCAAACCTCTTCATGGAGCTGCGATTTTCGTGATATGAACTCAAGGCTATGCAGTTAATACAACCTAAAAACATTTGCCTCTTACATGCAAATAATGATTTTTACAAATTTTTTCAAATTTGAAAATTTAAACAATCATAAACCACGCCCACTTTGACTGATCATTACCATATTAATAGTGTAGTCCTAAGACTATAATGATGACAACCACTGAGTTTCATGCACATCCATGTAGCCAGTTCAGCAGTATAAACTTCCTATTTATAGCGCCCCCTATTATTGAATCAAGCTGAAAATCAACATATATACTTGAAGTGGCCTTGGGTACGGTTGATATGAAAAGCTTTAGGTCAAAATCTTTTAAAGTTATACTAAGAAAACCTTTTCATTAAAAAAATTGTTTTAAAAAGTCATATTTCCAAAAATTAATAAAATATCAAAAATCCGTCCACAATATTTGGTTAGCCACTCTTCCCCTCTTGTCAGGCAAAGTTTTGATTTGATTGTGTTTGACGGCCAGGAGGAGTTAACGAAAGTACGTTTGACTTACTATGCAATTTTTGGCTAATTGGCATAAGTTTAAATATTTTGTCAAAAAACTCATCCAATATTGACAATGAACATACAGGATGAGATCATTTGTTTTTTAACTGAAGAAATGGGGAAAAAATAGCCAAAAATATTTTTGGGGTACAACAGCACCACCTATTGGACTAAATTCAAAATTTTCTCTGTGATTGTAGATGACACTATTATGGATCTGAACTGTAAATTTCTTATAGAATATATATTTTTCATGAGTAAAAGGGCGAAAAAATTCAAAGCCTAAAGCCAAGCCCACTTTTTAGTCATTTTCAAAATATAGCTTGCAGGTCCGATGATAAACATCTGTGACAAATTCTGCGGAAATCCATCAAGCCGTTTCACTGAAACAAACATTTTGACTCTTCAGCACCCCCTATTGGTGAATTAAACCAAAATTGAGTAGATCTGGCTTACAGCTCATACTTTGTAAGAGTCTAAAGTTTCATTATCTAAACCAAAAATATTGTGGTGATATCATCAATTAGGACGTGTGCTAGATAGTGCACTGAATTTGACAAGGTTTCGTTAGCCCAATTACCGTTTTTCTTCATCACAATGACTTAGCATATTGTAGATCATATGTACAAAGTTTGAAGTTGAGTCGACGAAAAATGACGGATTGGTGATTAAAACGAAGTTTAGTGTTTTTTGCAATCTAGCAAAAAATCTAGTTAGGCGGAAATGGGCATGGCCAGTACAAAAAACATGCAGAATCGTCCAAGGATCATGCACATATAAAGTTTTTGACTGTAGGGCCTATGATTTGGGAGCTAGTAGCTGAAACACAGTGACCTTCGCAATAGTGCCACCTAGGTGACTCCGAGTACAAATTTTGGAGTCTGAGTAGCGGTCAGGATTTTATATCAGACTGCCATGTCAGATTTTTTTTGGCATTTTCTGGCTCCTGCGCCCATATGGAATTAGAGGAGAAGAATAATGCCAGAAAAATAATGCCAAAAAAATAATGAAAAAAACGTACAAAAACAATAAGGTTCCCTGCCCGTTGGGCTTGGAACCGTAAAATCTCCAACACCTGGCAGATAATATTAAGTGAAGTTGAATATTGCTCATGTGATCACCACTTCTTAGTTATTCTATTCATTTTTCGTAGCTATTGTCTGCTGCAGCATGATGCTACCACCCACATGCTTGATAGTTTGCACCATAGACATGAATACGTAGAAGCCTCATTGGGCGTTGGGGATTGGAGTAGGAGATAGCATCACCACCATATTGGACGGGTTCCTCACTCTCCAAACCCAACTGGAGTCAACACAAAGTGAGCAGCTATGCCCATTTTGTGCAGCGTACGGTTGCAAAATACTGGCGTACTATTGACAACAGATTACATGGGATTACTATTGATTTTTCTAGCCAACCTGTTGGGATTTAATATTTTATTATACTTTCACTAAACTATCATGCCATATCATATGTCTGATTTTGTAAAAGCATGAAAAATGTGTTCTTTAGTTGGATAAGCACCTTCCTCCATGGAAATAAATGCACTGCAGGGAGATGAAGACCCATCCAAGATGGCGGCCAGCCACTACGGCAGCACCTGTGTCTATGATGTCTTTGGTTGGCACAAATTTGCTAGGCTTGAAAGATTCGTCTTGACTCTTCCCAACACACTTCTCCTCGCTGTGGCTGACCATAAACCATAAAGCTTCGCTCCACAAGGCTTAAGACCTGGTGTAATTTTGTGACTTAGCGATTGGGGAATCATTATTGTCCCAATGCCAAATATAAGATTCATATTGTCAACTCACAAGTAAAGTAATTTTTGTTCCAAACTCTCCTTTCCGCATGGATCCTTGATGTCTAAAAGAATAGTTGCCATTCTGTCATAGCAGCATTGAAAACACACGCCTACTTAGTCATGGTGGGAAGGGAGTGACAGCAGGACAACCAGCTGACAAAACGTGCAAATGTAAACAAAAGCAACAGTAGATGAATGTCTGCCTGTGGAGAACATTTACCAGCAGCAGAGAATGTGCTCATGCACAGCAACCATCTTAAGGACTAAATTAGCTCATTAGACAATACATGGCCAGTCTAACCATCTTTAAAAAACAATAACTTTACTGTTTTGAACCAGTCTGACCAGAATGAGCTTTCAGGTCACAGCTTCAAAAAACAACCTAAAACAGGCAGGTGTTTTTGAAATTGTTGTTATGTGACAGATGGATTACAGATTTTATTGTGAAATTTCAAAAAAGCAATAATAATAGCATACAAAAAATGTGTCTTTCTTTTATTGTTTTTTATTCTGTCTATCATTTGTTTTTGTTACCA